TGTGTGTGTGTGTGTGTGTGTGTGTGTGTGTGTGTGTGTGTGTGTACACGAATGTCTGGTCTTCCTAGCCAGGCTGTAAGCCCGGGAGGGCAGGCATTTACCACTGGAGTCCCTCCCACACCTCGCTCATGCCTGGCTCCTAGTGGGGGCTCAAGAAACATGGAGTCATTTATAGTCAAAGAGATTTGGGAAGTAGGGGTGAGCAGGAAGAAAGGGAAGAGCTGAGCCCAAGAGGGCAGGTGCCCACCCAATTGGGAAAATGGGGCAAGTGCAAGCAGTGGGGAGCCAGAGATGACAGAGAACCCCAGGACTTGCCGGTGAGGGCCACTCCCAACACCCACCCCACACACAGTGCAGGTCCCATTCATCATCTTCCCCCAATTACCAGCCAATATGTGTAGGGCCCCCGCGGTGGCTGCCAGCTTGGCTTTCCTGGAGGGCACCATGCCCCCGATGTTTGTGCAGCGCAACCCCACCATGCCTAGGAAGAGGCCCAGGAAGCCCAGGAGGATGGCTGTAATCATGAGCGCCCGGCAGGCCTGGATGTACCCTGTGGAGGTGGGTACAATTATGGGTCCCTGAGCGAAGCCCTTCCCTCCATCTCCCCTCCACCCAACCCACGAGAGCCAGCCCCTTACAGCCCCTGCTCTGATCTTAGTCCATAAAGGTGCACAAGTCCTCTCCTTCCTGTTCAGATTATATCTAGCCCGTACCACACCCCCTCCTTTTCCCAGGAGCTTGCCTCAGTCCCAAGGGGTCTCAGCTCCCGCCATGCCAACCCCTGCATCTGGTGCACTTGGCCGGTACCTAGGTTAATGGGCTTCCCCTTGGCACTACTGACGCTTTGCCTGGATAATGCTTTGTTCAGGGGGCCATCCTGTGCATTCTAGGGTTTAGCAGCATCCTCAGCCTCTGCCTGGTAGATGTCAGTAGCAATACCCCCCCACCCCCCCAAGCAGGACTATAAGAAATGTCCAGACATTGTCAAATGACCTCTGGGTGGGGCAAAATTGCCCATGGTTGAGATCCCCTCCTGTTAGGTCAGCACCACACTCTGTTATGTGTTACAGAAACTGTACCTGGTCACCCCCGGCCCCTTCCCCAGGTTAGCTTCTCTCCAGGGCCACCCAGTGCCTAGCACAGTGCCCAACATCCTGAACTGAGCTGCTTCCTGCAGTGACCTGTAGAGGGCCACAGTGGCCTGCAGGTTGTTGGGTTGAGGGCAGGTTCTGATCTGGAAGGTGGGATATCTGGGCCCAGGACCAATCCAAATCAGTCCAGCTCATGTGCTTTTAGTGCCTCAGTTTCCCCTTTCTCAAAGCTGGAGGAAATGGTTGGTTCCCTTCCCCCTTCTCTGTCTTTGATAGTTGCCAAGCACTCCAAGGACCTTGCACCCCTTTCCCGGGTGGGGCAAGTACCATCAGTACTGAAGGGGAAAGGCTGGGTCCCTGCCAGGAGGATGTTGGGGGGTAGGGAGGAGGGACAAAGTTCTCTGGGAGCACTTTCTCACTCCCAGCCACTCCCTCCAAAGTTCCCGCCCTCTCCCCATATCCCATAATCTTTCTCCACCCACCATCCCCATCTGCGGCTGACCAACTCTGGGTCCCAAGAGCTCTGGTAGACAAAGGGCAGAATACTGAAGGGCCCTGTGAGCACGTGGGCTGAGTGGCTGGGTGGTGACTCAGTGCTAGTCAGGACTTCTCTCAGGCCCACAGGCATCAACCAGCATCCAACTCAGGAGCCTGGCCTCCAGCCTCTACCACCCCTGCGACTCTGGGCAGGTTAATGCGCATCCTTGCAGTTGTCCCATTTCTGCGAATGAGGTTATTAAGGGCCCAAAGGCAGGGCTATTGTGACTAGCACTGAAATGGTGTATGTGGACCACCCAGCATGGTTGGTCCCCAGAGGAGCCCAGCACCAGGCAGCTGCGCCGTGCCCACCCCCTTGGGCACACTCTTGCCCACTTTCTCTCCATTTCTGCGAATGAGGTTATTAAGGGCCCAAAGGCAGGGCTATTGTGACTAGCACTGAAATGGTGTATGTGGACCACCCAGCATGGTTGGTCCCCAGAGGAGCCCAGCACCAGGCAGCTGCGCCGTGCCCACCCCCTTGGGCACACTCTTGCCCACTTTCTCTCTCAGGCCAACCACAGCAGTTCCAAGTGGGGCCCCTCTCTGTGGACAAGCTCACAGCAAAGGCCCCTCCCTGCACCATGGTGTGATTGAGGGGTAGGTGAGGTGGGGATGGCCAGGGCCGCAGAGCTGGCTGCCGCCAATTTCTCTTCTGCCCACTTAGCATCCTGGGCTTCTGTCCAGATCACACTCATCTTTAATAGGGGCTTTGGGGGATACTTGCCTTGTACAGAGTTAAGTCCTAGAAACAAGGATAAAGGCATGAAGCCCCTGTCTCAGGACATTCTGGGAATATTGAGGGTACAAGAGACCCACCCGAACCACCTGACTGCTCAGTGAGTCTTTGACATTCATGGGGGGTTTTGTGGAGCCCTGCTCCAAGTCCAGTGTTGGTTTCATTCTTTGCCCTACCACCTAGCACCTGCAGAGAGGGTCCTGGAGGAGCAAGATGGCTCCGGCAGGACCCAGTGAGGGCTTGGGAGCAGCACCACAAGGCTCCCGGGTCATCCCCTTGTGGTCTCTGGCACAGGTCAACTGAAGGAGACTGCCCTGGGGAATGACAGGGAGCTTACAGGGAGACGAGGAAGCAGGAAGGTGCTACATCCACTAGGGAGAACCTTTCTGGGCCCGAAGAGCTGTGGGCTCCAGTCTGCCAAGAACCTCAACAAATACAATGTCCAGAGAACCCTGCACATATACACATATATGCCCTAGCTGCTTACGGTGGAGAACTCACACCTGCGAAAAGATTCCCTTTAACAGGCCCTTTAGAACTCGCTGTAGCAGTGGGACCAATGCCCCATAGAAGTCTGGTGAAGCTTTTGAGACTTTTAAGTCTCTCACCCTAAGAATGGGCCCCCTCTTCATCCCACAAAGACCACGGCACCATCCCCTCTCCAAGATACAATGCTAACATCCACCATGTGTCTACATATGCTAATGTATCCTACATGTTAGGAGCCTGCATGCTTTATCTCATGAATGGCAGGTATAGAACCCAGTACTTGGATGCTCTAAGACAAAGTGCCACATTAGAGCAGGGAGACACATGTGATGAGGTCTCACTGCAGTTCCAGATAGGGGGCTGCCTCCAGTTCTTCCACTGCAAGAGTCCAGGTCCCTGACCTCGAGTCAGGCCTCCATTAGTCATATGATGCCCTAGGCTGGACCACAGGTAGCACCCACCCTCCTCAGGGGTTCCTCCAACCTCCCGCCTCCCTGTGCTCATGCAGCTCCCCCAGCCCAGTTGTACCAGAGAGGGCCAGCATGGATGGAAACTCCCAGCAGTTGTAGACTCCGAGGGAGTCAGTAGCACAGCTATACCAGAGGTTCTCGAAGATGGTGTTGGTGGTGATGACGCTCCCATGCACGGTGGACACTCGCCAGTAGCCATGTGGCAGGGTTACCCCCAGCATCAGCAGCCCCAGGGCTGCCGTGAAGAAGCCGAAGGTTTCCACAGCCACGGACATGGTGGGGTGTAGGGCCCAAGGGGCAGCTGGGGAGGGGCTAAGCCCCTGAGGAGCTTGGAGGGCTGTAGATAAGGAAGGGTGCTGAGGCAGGCTGGGGAAAGAGGAGGTAGGGAGGGGTGGGAGGCAAGGCGCCTGGGGCTGGGGTCTGTCTTCTGGCTTCTGCCTCCTCTCTGGGTTTCTTGGCTTCCCTGCAGGTCAGTCATAGGAATGAGCCAGAAGCGCTCTGCAGCTGTTGACAGGAGATGCAGGGAATAAACGAAACCGGCCAAAAGTCCACCTCCTCCCCCAGCCACTGGGCTCCCGCCCCGCAAGGGTGGGGGGAAAGGCCTTACAGGGAGTGACTAACGGATACTGCCAAGGAGGGGCCCCCATGAGAGGCAGTGGGAGCCAAGGGGAAGTGTCTCTGACTCAGCTTTCATCGGGGCCCAGAGAATAGAAGAGGGACAAGGAGAGACAAGGTAACTGAGACAAGAGACACACAGTGACCACACACAGGCCCACTGCAGCCTTCAATGGGGACAGACCTAGGGAGCAGAGCCACCTCCTCTGGATATTGATGACAATTCAAGAAATTCAGAGATCAAGGGGTTGGGGCATTAAGTCTGCACAGAAGGTTAAGGTTGACTAACGGAACGGGGTATCTGGGAGAAACCCATGGCTTTGGAGTTCAACCTGGATTCAAGCCAGACCCCACCGTTTACCAAAGTGATGTGCACATGCAGTTTGAGGCCCTTGAACTTGTTTGTGTCTCTGAACTGTAACAACTATTCACCTTCATAGGTTGTATCAAGAGTTGAACTGTAACGACTACTCACCTTCATAGGTTGTATCGAGTAGTGACCACAGGTCAACAGCTCCCCGCACGTGTGAACTGCTCTATACTGGGTGACTGTCCTGTGTCTGGGAGCTGCAGGCCCGCGTGAGGCCACCAGGAGGTTGCTGTCTTTCAAACTTCAACTTCCTGAACTTGAGTCTCCCCCCTTGTTGGGTTGATCTTTGACTGTCGGCAACAAGTTTGATCTTGCTGCCAAGGGGCCCCGAGTGGAATAAATCACAGGCCCAGAACGTGTGGCTAATCTAGGCAGCTCGGTTATCAGAACTGTCACCAGACCATTAATTATGAGGTTAGAAATCTCTGGGTCCCCACCCCAAGCTGAGGCTGAGCACCTGTCCTGGTGTGGACTGGACTCACTTCTTTCCCCAAGGCCGCAGCTGGGACTGCTCTAGTTCTTTTCTGGGGAACGTGGCTGGGACTGTTTCTAAGGCGCCTATCCTACACACAGGCCATCCCTGAGCTGAAGTGTAACCCCCATTCTCCCCTCCCTGTGTCAGGCTCCTCCTGGATCCCCCCGAGCTGGATTGGCTTGGCTGTGGAACGAGAGGTATGCAGTGAAGCAAGACAGGCCCATGCTGAGCCTGGCACGGGGTGGGTGTGGGGCAAAACAGGCTGGGTGGGGACGGGTCCCAACCTTCCATCTATGAGGCTACAACCTGGACGTCCTGCGTTCCTGACTTCTCCCAAGAACCCCGCTGACTCCACACCATACTTAGCAGCCCCCACCTCCCCTAAGGGGGACAGGGGAGGAGGAAGGGGAGGAAAGGGGAAAGACAAAGGGAGGGAAGGGTGGAGGTTTTGGAAGAAACTAGGTGGGAGGCCCCCCTGGTGTGGAAAACTCCATGTGCTAAGAGGCAGCTGAGTGGGTCAGAGGAGATGGGAGACATAAATCCTGGCCTGTCCCCTCAGCTCTGCCCTTCCTGCCTCCGGTCACTGCTTTCTCCCAGGATTCCAGGGCTGTGCGAGGCCATGTCCCTGGCTGCCTACCATGCCAAGGACATGACTTTGGGGGAGGGGGAGGAAGGAAGGGTGTGGGGTCTGGGTGGCTCCACAGACAAAGGAGAACCCACACCACCAGCGTGGGGGTAGGAGTAGGAGGGCACACAGCAGGAAAGGACCACATGACCCCCACCTCTGGGCCCTTCCTCAACATGGACACGGAGGTTCCCAAGCCAAAGCCCAATTTTATTTACACTCATCCCAAAGCACATGAATTGGGGCCAAGGACAGGTCTTAGGGGAGAGGAAGCTGAAGGCCACAGAGGACTGTGAGGGGGTGCAGAAGAGAGGGGCAGCGAAGAGGGATGGGCCCCTCTTTGGGTATTGTCCAGGGGCTCCCGCATATCCCTTGGCAAGAGGCAGAAACACAGTCTCAGGATTTGCTCTTGGATACGGCCAGCCCGATGAGTCCAGCCAGTCCTGCCACACCGAGGGCCATGCCTCCAACAATGGCCATGCCCACTAGTCCATCTGGGGAAAGGAAAAGGGGGACTGTCAGGAATGGGGCCCCTGCAGGGACCCTGGCCTCAAGCTTCTCCTGGCCAATGCTCCACAGATGTGCCTCTCCCCTGGAGTCACAGGATGAGGGACTTCAAGGCCTGGGGAAAGAAAGCTTCTGGGGATTGGAGGAAGAAAAGCCTGTGGGGTAGGGGGGTCATTAAAGAGAGCCCAGAGTGCCCAGTAATGGAGAAAGGAAGAGGCCTTCTCAGAGAGCTGAGAGGGACCTGGGCATGACGGGGGCCAGGGAAACAGGAGGGTGGGGAGTGGAAGCAGACAGCGGGAGAAGGGCAAGGAGGCAGTCACCTTTCTTCATGGCCTTATCAATGAGCCGTTCCAGTTCCTTGGCCTGGTTGTTCTGGGGCTCTGTCTGCAGCAGCCCTCGCACATACTTCAGGGCCTTTTCATATTCCTGCCCTCAGGGAAAACACACCCCCTGCCTCAGTACTCTGTTACTCCGCCAGCCCATCAGAGGGGCTCCTCCCTGCCCCCCTCCCTCCAGCCCCACCCAATGGAGTAGAGTCCACAAACAACCCCAACTGTGTGGGGGTGATAAGCCCGGGGAAATAACAACCCAAGCCTTGGGGCAGCACCCCAATCCTGATGTCACCTTGTTCCCTACTCCCTCGGCACCCAGATCCTGTTGCCTTCCCTGAGTGTCCTGACCTACTGCCATGCACCTCTGCACCTGACCCCACCCACTGCGTACTACCCTCTTGCTAATCGCCAGGGCTCTACCCTGGAGGATAGAAACTAGGGTGCTGGGGCCCCCCCACGCAGGGTGGACAGGAAAGGGGGCTCTCTGCCTTACCTTGAGCCGGTAGTTGCCCACAGCCAGGTAGAAGACATAATCCCGCTGTTCCTCTTTGCTCCCTTTGGGCAGCAGCTCTGGGGAGGGTGGAAGGAAGAGGGTGAAAACTGCTTCCTCCTTTCCTAGTACCTGTGTCCCAGAGACCCTTTCCACTCTCTGAATTCCTACACAATTTTGGGAGAAAGTCACTATCCTGAACCTCCATTTCAGCTCTAGTCATTCTCAACCTCCCAGTCAGAGATATGGGGAAGCGTGAATTCAGGCTGCCAAATACCCTGGTGACCAACACCCTGGTAACAATACTACAGTGTAGTCTGGTTCATCTAAATGAACTGAAAGGAAATCAAGGCCCTGGAGAAGCCTCTGTACTCAGTTTTGGCATCTGCTGCGTGTATTAAATAGTTGCTTGCTGTCCAGATCAGTGTTAAAAGTTACATCTATACCGCCTCCCTCTTTCAAAAAATCAGCTCAAAACTTACCTTCAATTAGCCTTCCCTGAATTACCCCACCTGCCTTTCTTAATTCAGTGACTTCCCAGAGGCTTATGTGTTCAGTCATACTCGATGTACTACAATTTGTCACTAAGTAGTTTTGCAGGTGTTTATAAATCTTTCCAAGTGTCTGTACTGTCTCCTCAACTAGACTGGCAACGTTTAGAGACCACTTTTACACCTGTACGCTGCTGTAGAGGAAACCTAAAAAATCCTCACTGGCAAAACAGCCAAAGGTAGGGTAAGATTTGCATTAAGAAAGAGTCTTATTTTTATAGATTTACAATAGGCATCCTTTGATAGTACACTGATTGCTTACACATTAAAGAGAAAGGGGATACAGGGTACAGAGAAATCTAAAGGTCAAGTATTACGGCCCCTGACAAATGGTGACCCATCCAAAACCAACTGGAAACAGGAGTCCAAACAAAAGGCACCATCAGCTCATAGGTTTTGGGGACTATCTTCCACACACCTTCCATGCCACCCCACAAAAAGTTTTCAACAGCTGCTGAATAAGCAACATGGTGGGGGCAAAGAGCGCAGGACTGGGACACACAGGACAGGAGCTTCTAGTCCCAATTCAGCCATTAATTAATTTAGCTGTGTGACCTCAGACAAGTCACTTTGCTTATGGTTAGATTACCATATCACCACAGTCCTATGGAGGACTGACATGCTATGACTCCTTTGGCTAAACAATGAGGTGGTAATTAGCTAAAAGTACACTGAGAGGAGAAGTCAGGCTAAGCACAGCCCTTTGTTGCAGTGAGTTTGCTATAAAGTAACTGTGAGGTCCTTTGTTGAGAAGTCCCAGCACTCGAGATGCAGGGAGTGAACGGGGCCAATGGCAGTAGAGAAGGCCAGATCCCGATGGCAGTTGGGAAGTGGGAGGCAGGTAGCCTAGCACCTCACCCTCCAGCAGTGCGATGCCTTTACGGATGTCATCGTTGTACTTGCTTCGCACCAGGCACCAGGCATACTCAAACTGCGTGCTCTTGGACACCGAGCCTGCTGCCTTTTCAGACTGAAATTTCTTTTCAAACTTCTGCCACAGGAGAGGAGAGGAGTCATTTAGCAAAAAGGGGGAGAACCATTCTCTATCAGGACTTGAGTGTCCATTTCCCATTTACACCCCCTCTTCCCCAGGCTCTGCCATTATTTTCTTCGCAGGTCTTAGTACCTGACACCCCAGGTTCTGCTATGTCCAACCCTGGGACCCAGGCATTCCGTTTCTTAGCTGTAGGCCGTCTACTTGGTAGTCACCCCCGCCGCCTTCTTCCCCCTAGCGGTACCGAGCGGAAATGCCACCTGGTGGCGGCTCCAGGCACCGCTCCCGAAGCAGCTGACCCGGACTGGCTGAACAGTAAACACGCTGTTTGAACTGCTCAACAACAGCCCACGTGGTGTCTCGTCGGAGACTCTTCCCCCATCCCGCCCCACCCTGCCGGGTCTGGACCTTTTCTTATTTGCAAAAGAGAAAGAAAATGGTACCCACCTCCTAGAGCTACAACGATTGAGATTCTGCCTGCATGCACTTAGCACCCATGAAGGATTCAGTGAGTAATATATGAAACTTTATGGTGGTTGCCATAGTCCCCCGCCACTGAAGGTGCTCAAAAACAGGTTTCCGCACCCTGACCTCCTAACTCTTGCATGCACCCAGGACTCGTCAAGTCTTTCCACGCCAGACTCCAGGCCTCGAGTCTTAGTACCGCAGGAAACTAAACTCCATCAGCCTCCGGGGCAAAGTGGACCCTCTGGGCTGGAGCCGGACGCTGCAAGGGCTGCCGGGAGCCGTAGTTTGGCTTCCCTAGGCAAAACGGATGCTGAGAAGGGGGTTTGGCCACTACCCTACTCTCCTCCGGGTGCGCCCGTCCAAATCTTCCCTATCCCTCCCTTGGGGCCAGGCCTCACCAGCAGGTCATCCACAGACACCAGCTCGTTCAACACGGCCTCCATGGCCGCCGCCCCCCCGCAAAGTCCTCACACCTCAGACGCTAGTGTGCCACAGTCTCCATCGCCCACTGGCAGGGTCAGAGCCACTTCCGGCGTCCGGCGGAAGCGGGCCCTCCTCTACGCCGATCCAACCGCCTCCCGTAGCAGACGCCGAGCCCGCCCCCTGCCGGCCGGCCAGCGCCCCGCCCCTTCCTCCCTGCGAATTACTCCGGTGGAGATACTAATGCGCACGCTCCTACCGGCTCTCCCTCACCCCTACCCGCGGACCTAGCACAGCGTGACACCTTCTCCCACGTTCGTCCTCCTGGGGGCCTTTGTGTGTGCCTTCCTCCACGGAAGCTCCCTAAATAAAGTTTGCTACTGTGTCCTGGTGGTTAGCCGCGGAGCTGAAATAGCACAAAATAGAAGGTGGAGAGCCGGGCATGGATCGCATAATTTAGGACCAATCTAACCCTATCTGCCCTCCCAGCAGCAACAAGCCCCGCCCCATTCTAGGATCCTGGAGGCTACGTGACTTTTCAGTGCATGCAACAAAATCATAAATAGTACCAGAGTTTTCTGGGCTTCTGACTTAAAACGCAGGAGGATTGTCAAACTGTTAACCATACACCCAGAGACTGGTGCCCATATGAATTTGGACTTTGGAAATGTTTAAATGGGAATTTAAGGAAAGGCTGTTATGTGGGGTCATGGGCACTAAGGAGTTGGCGGTGAGGAGCAATCAAAACATGGGAAGGGGAAAGGCTAACTGCTCTGGCATCTGTGTTCTGTGCAGTGATGGGACTGGGTAGGTAGTGACTTTCGAATTATTTTTACCTTGACTCGTAGTGCTCCAGTGCACATTAGAATGGGAGTTGCATGAGGGCAGAGCCTATATTTTGTTTATCTTTGCCATCTCCAATACGTAGCACAAGGTGAATGTTGAATAAATACTTACTGAATGTGGGGAAGTTGGGGTTCCTATGACCAGGATCCTCACTGAACTTAAACCACCTGATGTTGTAACTGGCCTTGTTGCTAGGCTACCGCTTCCACACCTTTAGGCAATAAGTTATTATTGTGCTATACAGAGAGCTCGGCCCAGTGCTCTGGGTGGAGGCAGAGACGCTAGTGCTCGACCTACCGCTGGGAGAACAAACCAGGTAATAAACCCTTTCACCCCAAGAACATTTTGCTGTCGATTCCTTTGGTCACACTGAATCCATAGCGAACTTGCCTGGGGCTGAAACCCATTGGCAAGACAACTGGCAAAAGTC